TGCCACTGCAACTTGCACCTAGTTTTCATCCGGCCACGCCCACTCTAACGCCCACAAGCCGCGGAAAACTGTGGCGTCCATAATATTATAGTGTATGTTTTTTCAAATCGGAACATTATTTTGCTATTTATGAAAAAGGTTAAGTTCTAGACCTCACATGGGCAGTGATGTCACTATCAGTTACTCAACATGCTTTCTCCGACAATAGATGGCGCCTTGTGAGTTTTAACCAGTAAAATTGTTTAAAACAGTAACGGGTACTCGACTAAAGCGTTTCCTCCTGTTTTTTCTCTTTTATTGAATTATTTTTTTAATGATTCTTAACCGTTAAAAATGTTATTGAAAACCAAATACGATATTTTATTGATTATTTAGATAACTTTGGCCATCGTTTATTCCGTTAATCGATATAGAAAATCGTTTAAATTATTGGCAATGCCAGAGAGAAGCATTTGTATTGAGCGCAACTCCTGATTTAAAAGGGCATATTGGCTTTGTGCTTTAATTGCCCCATGATTCATAAGCACACACACGCACACTTTCACTAATGCCCAACACATTAACAACTCGCAAACGCATACACATTCACATGCAATCCATACATATATATATATATGTATTTGCACATGTGTGTATAGATGAGCTGTGAATTATTACACGACACCGGGCGCATCTAATTAATAACAAAATTTTAATCGCCCAACGATAGCCGGGCATTAGCTGCCACTCCTCTCTCTTTTTTGTTAACGCCCTGTTTTCCACCACCCACCCTCTCTCTCTCTCTCAACCTGTGCCCACCAAAAAGGACCCTCGCAAATGTCGCTGATTATTATTGTTATTGTTATTAGCGCTTGGAAATTTATGTGCACAAATTTATTTGCTATGTCGGTACTCAAATTGAGCATAATTTTTCATTTAAGTGGAAATTAATATTTTTACGCCCTAATGCCAGGGGCCACGCCCCTCTTATATATATTGTTCTCCTGTATTTTTCCCTCCTTTTGCTAATTATGTCACGTCGTGTTTCGAAGGACGAAGAAGGAAAAAAAAAAACAATATTCGTTGAAGGGGGAAACAAAGAACAAAAAAAATGCGAAGAAAACGATTTTGATAAATATATTAATGGGCCAAGCAAATGGCTGTTTCTTACTCATACCATACCCTACTTCTACTCAATGCTTTTTCGTTATGAAATATTAATTTTGATAGATAGATAGATAGATATATATATATATATATACTCTTAAATATAAATTTCGTTTGGGGCGGCATGAAAGGAAATGACGGAATTTGTAGCACACTTTTTTGGACTGATTAGAGGATATTGAACAGGAAATTGAATGGAATTCGTTGTTGTTGTTGTTGTTGTTGGTCAGGTAAATGAATTTAAACGGAAATGTGAGGCGGGGCTGGGCTGGGGGAAGTCTCTTAGTGATTTCTGGGAAATTGTTGAAAGTGAGAAACCAATAAAGATTTAACAAGAAATTATTATATGAAATTGGAGGAAAGCTGCTTGGCATTTTAACAGCTCTAGTTTCATTTTATAAGTAGAAGTTAACTAAATCTGATTTACTTCCACTATTCTTTGTATCTTTGGGCAGTTTATTGAACTAAAGTGAGCAGTTCCCTAACATTTTGGCCCCTCTAGATCTCGATTGTGGGGCAGCATATGGTAACCCCTGTCACGCCTCCATTTAGCTCTAGATTTGACCATCTCCTCTGGTCTCCGAGACCAGACCACCTCCTATTTTCCATGACGATTTCCCGACCCTCAGAGAAACACATTGCTCATTGCCAGGGAGAGGCATAAATTTTCCTAAAAGAGAGAGAGATAGAATGAATAGCCAATCCTTGCCCTCTACCAACCTTCCAACCTCCATCACGTTTCCACCAGGCCATGTTGCTCTATTTGTCAGCTCGTGAAACAATCATAACAACCAAACCCCCCCCTAGGAATCGCATTTTGGCCCTTCTCTGTTCTTGGGTTGCAATGTTTTTTGGTTTTGCATGTAACAAGCCGGCTCCCTTTTCGTCATTTGGAGCTTCGATCCTGCCCAGTTGCATACATTTGTCATGCTATTTGGCCAGAACATCGTTAAACAGAGAGAAAATAGGGCCTTAAATAGGACATGGGTTTAAATACATATTCAAGTTTTTATTAGTTTCAAGGGAATTAATAAACTATTACTGTCAGGCATATTTTATTATATGTTTAGATAGCAATTGCTATGTTGTTTTTTCTCAGTGCATCGACATAACTTCCGCCCCTGGGGTGTTGTGTGTCTGTGTGAAAAATTCATTGAATCGTATGACAAGACAGAAAACGCATTGCCTTTCTTGTGGGCAAAAATAGTGGGTAAGGGCCTGGGTAAGGGGTATGTAAGGGATGGGTAATGATAACCAGGCCTAAAAACAGATAGTGGCGCAAACATTTCTGCTTACCAGACCGGCGATACCCAACCCTCCCCCACTCAGTTCACAGTGTTTTGTGCATTATTTTGTGGGAATATGGGGGGGAAGGGAAAAGGGAAGAACTAGCACTAAAATATTGCGTATACGCAATAGTGGTACAGAAGAGGTACTGTGTAAATATGGACGGCGAAAACTGGTTGGAAAAATGTTTTGAGAAAATCAGGGTGGGTGGTATGGGTATGGTGGTGGTGAACTAACGATGCCCCAGCCACGACTTTAAACATCCTTATCAGCTGCAACTAGAAAGCGACCAGAGAAAAGCAGTCACACAAAAATGCATACATTGTCGAAGGGGAGAAGAGGTTTTTGGAAAATCTGGGGTGTGTTGAGGGAGAATGGAGAAATGGCCAGGCGTACAAGTGGGCGGGAAATATATAGAAAGGGGGCGGCGGAGATAGTTTTGAATTTCATGAGTCCTCCGGGAGGCGGTGGCACTACTAATGGCTTCAGTCTGCTCTATTTTCGCAAAACTCCAATTATTAATGAGCATTCTGATATGTTGGGCATAGGAAAATTTTCCGTTTCCCACAAGGAAAATCAATGGGAAATGGAGAAAATGGCGAAAAGCAAAGCGAAATTCTAGAAAATCAAAAAAAGACTATAAATTGCAAGCAATTTTATGCTTTAAAAGATTAATTATTATTATTTTTATGGAAAAATAATATTTACAGATTTAAAATTTAACCCAGGGACTTAAAATAAATAAATATTTAAAATGTTTAAAAATAGTTTACTTCATTTAACAACTAACTTTTAATTTACACCTAAGAGATTTTTAAAATGCCAATAATATCTATCAAAAATACAGAAATTTTCTTATTTTTGTGACGGCCTTGGTAGTGGCTTTAATTTGAATAATCTACAAAATGCCACAATAGCAGCTCTCCCACACACACGACGTGTGTAAATCAAAAGTATCGGCTCGGCATATTTAACTTTTCCAGCTTGGCAGCTTTTCAAGTGGAATCAACCGCAGACAAAGACGCCCACACACACACACACACACATACACGAGTAATCTTTTGATTAGCCAAGTTAAGACGAGGGCCACAATATGGAAAACCAGGCCGAAAGAAACTACGGCAACGGTTCGTTAGAGGATGGCTGAGAGGGGAAATCAAATGTGGAAAAACATCAAACGAAGTGCCAGTAACACCTGCAATATTTGCAACAATTTCCCCCCATTTAAAAGGCTTTAAAATGCCAACAATGTACAGTTGTTTACGCAATTGTAGGGCAACATCTGCTTAAAATATATAAAAAATGAAATTAAAAATACAAAGAAATAATATGGATATAATTTCAGTTTATAAAATATTTAAGGAAATTTTATATAAGTTAATTTTATAATTTTTAAATTAAAGTACTCCCAAATCTCTGGTCACAACTGTATGAGAATTTTCGGTTAGTTTCTTTGTCTTTAAGCTTTTCCCCGTAGTAGTTTTTCCTGTTCAGCAATTGTTTTTTGCACCTCAGCAACTTAAAAACCTAGCAAACAAAAAATTTGCACACGCATTTAAATTTTTTTTTTTATGCCAGCAACAGCAGCAGCCGCAGCAGCAGCAGCAACATGTACGTGGCAGCAACAAAGAAAGACGAGCTGGGGCGTCAATAATACGCACTTTGTTTCCACAGGCCGACTTGCCGCCACCCACTTTTTTGTAGCCCACTTTTAGGAGGACAAGCCAAATAAAAAAGAGAGCTAGTAATAAAGACACTGCGGGAAATTTTAGTGAAATAAAATCAAGGTATTTACAAAAATACGAAACAAATTGCAAAAAAGTTCAAATAATATTTTTTTTATATTTGAATTTTCTCATGTATCCCAAGCCAGTCGTTTTTTAAATTTAAATTTCTCTCAGTGTAGAGTAAAAAAAAAAATCAACATTTCGCGAAATGGTACGCTGATAAAAATGACAATTGATGGGCGTACGTGGGCTCATTGGGGCATGGGCAATTGCTCAGTTATGTTTTATGAGAAATGCTGGGCTGCTGGGGCGTAGTCCAAAGGGGGTGGGGCTTGAAAAAAAAAACAAAAAAACACGCCCATCAATTGCCACAGATTCGGAGATTTGATGGTTCAGAAAAAAACTACAGATAAAAGAAAGCGATGGGAAAAGCAAAAATAAAACTTTAAGATTGAGGACAAACCAGGCTGTCTTAAAGGGGCCTCAGAACTAGTTGTTTATGTAAAACAATTTAGGTGTTGGAAAAATCCAAATCATTTTCTTGCAACCACAAGAACATATTGTTTTTAAATATTATGCTGGCCTCAACAGTATTTTTGGCCTTTATAGATTTTATATTTTCTTAATAGCTTCACAAAGTATACGTGAAATGTCTTGTGTCCTTAATCCTGAATCCTGGTCAAGAGGACATTTTGCCCAATCAGCATTTTCCATTTTTCGCCTTGTCTGCTCAAATTTCCAAATATATACATATATATATATATATATTATATATATGTTTATATACTCGTAAATACATATATAGCTCTTCCAATTGGCTCAAATTTTTGATTTGCTTACGTTTTTATTTACCAATTTTGTATTGTCTTTTTTTTTCGCGCATTTTGTATTCAGCTTGTCATTCATATTCGAGGCTCCTTTTTTTTGGCCGCTTGTTGTTGTCACTTTTGCTGTGGTAAGCGTTACGTGTCCTGCTTAACTAATCAGATATATGTAATACACACACACACATTCACACGACCAGGAGACAAAAGCGAAAAAAAAAAAGAAATAGGAAGAGCCCCTGAAATGGAATAAAATGAAATGAATTTCAGTTACTGTGCACAGAGAAAAAGCAATGTAAAATTTGACAATCGAAAGAAAGAAATTTAAAGATTTCATGTAAGCGCTTGCAAAATACTTGGAAAAATCATTTATTTGAAATTCTTTTTGGATTACTAACTTTATGAAGTGATAGTGATAGAGAGAGAGTAAGGTTTTATAAACTTTGTTTCCCCTTTTCTACAGTTTTCTTAATACTTTTTGTGGTTTGGTGTTTTTCTTTTTTTTTTTGGTTTTTCTCAGTGCATTCTGTGGCGTTGCATCTGTGCTCAATTGTGCGGATTGTCAATCGCATGCAATTTAAATAAATTGAGTGTTTTATTGGGTTTTCAATTTGATGCCCACCGCACAGAATTCCTCCGCCATTTTCCCCATTGTTCGTATTAATCATCGTCGATTGTGCGGTGGTGGTGGTGGTGGTGTTGGTGTTGGTGTTGGTTTTTCCAACGGTTGCCAAAAATTCACAAAACATGAAACGAAGTTAGAATAATTTTTTGGTGCCCCAAAAAATAATCAGCGTGCTATGTGTATGCCTGCAATTAATACCCGGCCATTAAAATCAATTTTTGTTGTTGTTGTTGTTGTTGTTGTTTTTTTTTAGTTTAGGCATTTGGAAAATTTGGTAAATATTGCAGGGAATGCAATTAGAGGCAAGGTGTTGAGGGATTGCTAATCGATTCAATTGCGGTCAAATCGAATTGGAATGCGAATAAAATAAATTTGCCTGTTACTATTTGGGTTTTCCCATGTTTTACTTTCTGTTTATGGAATGTTTTTAACATGAAGTACTTGATAATATCTTTAATTAAACTTCGTAAAAGGTTTCTTTTTGCTTTTTTATTAGCTAAATATATTATTTATTTAAATTCCTAACTACAAATATTGCAAAAGAAAAATCTGGTTATTGATTTTTTGCAATTAAAGTATTTAAAAAAAAATATTTATAAAAAAAAAGAATACATTTATATCTTTGTCGTGTATTTTTCCACCCCTAAATTATGTTAATTTCCTTAAAATGCAACCTGTTTGTGAAACTAAACTCGTTTTTTGTCACTCCCTCTCCTATTATCATTTGCTGTTTGTTTTTTTGTAGTAGCACTTTTTTATTCACTATTTTGTGGTAGAAAAATATGTTCAACATATAAATATACAAATTCATTAAAACGAAACAGCAGAGCGAATTAAAAGAAAGAGATAGCTCTTTTGGGAGGGGGGTAGCGAGTGTTGACACAGTGCTACTGTAAAAATTTCCATTTGTATTTAATTTTGTTCAAAAAAAAAACAAAAAAGAAAATCAAGAGAAAATGAAAAAAAAAAATGGATAAACGAGTGAGCGCTGACTTTTTTGTTGCATATAATAATACGGAGTAAATAAATGTTTTCGCAAATTTGTTAGTGCGGGTTGCCTTAATATTTTACACGAGTGCCCAGACGGCCATAAAAAGTTCGTAGTATCATTATAAATTTTTAACAATTGTGACAATTGTTGTTGCCAGGACAACGCACACACACACACACACACACACCATTGTGTCCTGCATCCTGTTTCACGTCCTTACACACAGCTGCAATTTTCACACGCTTGTTTGGGTTTAACAAAAGCAGCGGTGCCAGGAAAAAATACAAAAAAAATGATATATATATATATAAAAATAATCATCATTGCCAAGAGCTAAAGCAGGGCGAAAAAAAAAAAACTAATTTTAAATCTGTTTATCACCAGAATTTAAGTTGACATTTTTCTGGGCACATTGTGAAAATTAGTAAAGCTCATTACAAGAAATAAGTTGAAACGGTTGAATAACTTAAGTAAATATATTTAAGAAGAATTAAAGATAGAATTCAGAATTAAGAAAAATCCTTTCTGCATAATTTTTCCATGCGCCAAATGGTTTTCTATCTTCGATTTTTCTAGCTTCTTTCAATGACCTAATAAACATTTCCTTATCCTTTTTCTTTTTGTATGTTTTTTAATAGAAACCCATACACATTTCCTCACAAGTTGTGAAAAAATAAATAAAATTCAAGTTATAGACAAAGACAAAAATATATAAAAAGGAAAAACGAATGCAAAGAATTGATGCAGAATTCGAATAATTTTATGGCATATTTAAGTGTCTGCATAATTTGCTCTCGAAATGTTACCACTCTTACTACTCGTCTTTTTCTTTACCGGCTTAACCAACCATCTCTTTCTAGAGATGAGCACGTGTTATGCTTACGAAATGCCAATCGCATGTGAATCGACCGAAATTGCTTTCATTCTTATTGCATAAAACAACCTTCTGCTGACAAACTTAATATAAAATACGTTTTAGTGTCAGGCAGATTCGGTTGGAAAGTTCAATTTTTCCTCAAGTTTCCTATTTTTTGTGAAAAACTTCAATTCAGATGCAAAATTTATATATATAAAAATAAATATACATATAATATTTCTTGGATTTTATGATTTATTTTTATTTTCAAAAAAATATTTAAAGATTTTCGTATTTTTATATGCCATCTCTATTTTTGCGGTGGGCTTTTGCTGTGCAGTTTGGAAGCCTTCGTTCGCTTTTCCACCTCCCATTTTCCCATTTCATTTTTCCGTTTCTATGCCTGTGGGTTTTCCATAGTTTGGGTGTATATATGTGTGTGTGTGTGTGTGTGTGTGTGTATGTGTGTCGGTGTGCACATGACATGAAGCACAAAAGGTTCAACTGACTGTAAAACGCTTAAATTGATTTAAATGCAAAGTCGACCCGAGAGTCCGAGTTTGAGTCCGAAATGAATGAATGAACGAATGAATGAATGAGTGGAGTAAGTGATTGGATAGTCAACGGGTTGATCCTCCTTCTCCTCCTCCACCTCCTCCTCCTCCTCCCCCCTCGTGCACCGTTTTACCATTTTCCTAACCATTTTCTAGCTTTTGACTGGCTCTCGAGGCTATTTCACTTTTCGTTTTCCTTGACTAACTTTTATCAAAAATGCCAAAAAAAGCATCAAAGAGGAGCTGTGACTCATTTTGTATTTAGAGTTGTGTTGGAAAAATATATTTTTTTAATTTTTATATATTGAATTTGCCTTTAATTAATTTTATAATAATTTAATATATTTTTATACAGAGAGCAAAACTAAAACAGTTTTAAAGATTGCAAATTACTAGATACTATAATTTTGTACACAACTGTATGAGGGTAAAACTTTTCCCGCACAACATGGCGAAAGAACCAAAAAAAAAACCAAAAAATGTAGCAAAATAATGTGGAAGGAAAGTTTGCTGCCTCTGCGTGAAGCTCAATGAGCTCAAAAATCTCTTTTTAATACTTGGGCATAACTAAATTAACAAAGCATAAGTACTAACTAAGCTGATGTGTGTGTGGGTGTGTGTGTGTGTGTGTGTGTGTGTTTGGGTGTGTGTGTGTGTTTGGCTTTATTTAACAATTTTAGGCAAATTAAATTTTGGCCAGCCTGCAAGCCAAAGAGCAATTTCCCAGCTACAAATGAGCAAGAATTTAGGGGAATGATGGGAGTGGCATTTTCGAGCCGATGTTTGTCTATCATACAAATATATAAAGTCAGCTTAGAGGGATCTGGATAGCTACCAAATTTAAGAAACATTTTAAATATTCAAATAACATTTTGATTTACTAAGAAGATTGTTTTTAATTCCTAAAAATACGACTTAAAAGCTTAGAGGGATCTACTAGATAAATATAAGATGCATTTTTGATTTCATTAAAATAACAAATATAAAAAAAATATTTGAATTTCTTTAGAGTTTTGTTTATTAGTTTCTCTATTTGACTTTTTCAATAATTTATTCACATCTTCTTCTATATGTTTTGTTAATCAAAATGTTTTATTTAAATACGCAAATGAAATGAAACAACTGTGTTGGTTTTTTTTTTATTTTTATGCTTATGATTGAATAGTCATATTATAAATATGATTTTCTGTACAAGTTTTTCCAACTTAATGGATAGTTTTCGTTGTGTGTGTTTTTTACCAAATCGAAAGAAAAAAACTAAAACAAAATGCGTTGCACAATAAGATGAGACAGGGACAGGCCAGGATGTCGGCAAATAAACGCTTGTAGGTTGTATAAAATTTTGTGTATGCAAATGAAGGTAAACAACAGAGAAACAGACAGGCGGCACAAAAAAAAAAAATATATATAAAAATATAAATAAAATATATATATATATATATATTTTGTTTTCCCTATTTTTTGTTTTTTGGGTGCTCTAATGTGAGGAGGTGAAGTGGACAAGGGCAGTCCTGAGTTCTGGCGGCTTCCTGGATGCGGTGTCACTCTGTTTAAGGCTGCCCCAGGACCCTTCAGGGAAAACGAAGGATGAGTGGCAAACTTCTTTTTCTGCCGGCCTTTTATATATATATATATATATATATATACACTTTGTTGCCCCTTGTTTTGTATTCCGTGACTCCTTCTCGTGACTGGGCCTATGAATTGAATTATTAAGCATGCTCTCTCGCTGCCAGGTCATTCAAATGCAGAAAGCGCCGGCAGCCAGCGACGCGATTTTCTGCTCAAATGGAGGCACAAACTTCAGACAAAAAAACAAAAAAGAAAAACACACACACACACATACACACATATACAAAAAATTACGAAAGAAAATCCTGGTGGAAAAAAACTGGGAAACATTTTCACAGCGGCAAAGTGAAATGAAAATGCTACCCCGGCAAATAAATGAAAATTAACCAAAGTGAGACGAACTCAACTCAATCGCAGCTCAAGTGAAGCCTCCCTTTTGTCTGTTGAAATAGGTTTAAATAATAATTAAGTCAAGTTGGTAAGGATATTTTTGTTTTAAAGGTGGGATAAGTTTGTTGTCAGTTCAACTATTAATTTTAAAAGTATATACATTTCATATTGTATGCCAGTTTTTAAAGAGTTTTATGGTTTTTATACCTTAATGAAGTCCTTAAGAGGATTTAAGCATATCAAAGGATGTTGTTTTTATATATTTCTAAGTTTCTATGTTTTAAATAATTGGAATAGTTTACAAATTGATAAAAGCAATTTAAAAACTCCATTAGGTTTTGAATATTTGGCTGCTATTAGCAAATGCCAAGGTTCTTGAAGAATGTGTGAAAATCAAAAGGGAATCAATTCGATTAAAGTGCACCATTCAGGGCAAAACGAAAAAAAAAGTATGCTATTTCATTCAATAAAAATCGATCGATTGCAAAAATGAAAAATGAAAAACTAAAAGAAAAACTGCAGTTTTGTCCACTTTCTCTAGAACTCTAGAATTTGACCAAAAACTTTGCCCTTTTCTCCTCCGACTTGGCCTGCATAGGCGTGGAAAAACAAGATGAAGATAAAGGCAAAAAAAAAAAAAAAAAAAGATGAGCAAGGCGGCCAAATGTATACAGAAAATAAAAATTAAAATTACAAACAAGGACACAGGAAACTTTTCTAATCTAAAAAAGCACAAAGGCAAAAGCGAAGCCAAACACCAAGGCTGGGCGTAAAGTGTAGGCCAAGTGCAAAATAAAATTATGGTATTAAATTTTCATGTCAATTACAAACGGCGACAGCCAACAACAGGGCAAAAGAAAAAAAAAAAAAAACAGCCTGGCGGAGTGGTTGAGTTGAGTAGATGGTGGGCGGAAAAGCCAAAAGCTGGTCATAATAAATGACCCCACCTCTCCCCCACCACTATGCGAAGAAGGAAATTTCCACACCCAATGAAAAGCAGGTGTCAAAAGCAAGTGGCGCACTTGCAATTACAACAAAAAGCAACAGCAAGAGCCGCAAAAAAGGCACGCAGAAATTTAAATGAAAACCGAAGAAAGTGCAGAAAATATGGCATACTTTTTGGGGCTGGGAAAAAATTAACTCGTAATTTTTCGAAATCCTCAGGGTTTCCTTGTATTAGGTTTTCACCAGCAATGTTAGTTTTATTTTTGTTTTTAGTTTTTATGTTTAATATTTCTTAAGGAGTTTTTTTTTACCTCTTTAACTTTTTGATTGAATTGAAGTAAATCGTTTTTAAAGATAATATTGCTTAATATTCTCCTTTACTTTATTTTATTATTCATTTTCACCTTTTTTGCATAAATACCAATCGACATTTGTTGGCTAACTTTTTAAATTACAAATCGTAAAGGTCGATTCCTCTCTTCTATTTTTTTCAAATCGTACTCTTTGGGTAAAGTTTGTGCGCTAGTTTCTGGTTTATATATATAAAAAAATATATATAAATATAAGTACCTATGTACTTGTGTGTTCTTTCACTTTTTTTTTTTCCGCCAAGAGCTTCTTTTTACTTTCCAAAGTAGGTAAACAAGTTTTCCCGTTTCCTCTACTCCATTTTGGCCACCTACTTTTGGCCAAAAACCAAGAGCTTCCAGCATTTTTTCGCATTGCCGTTTATTTCCCTTTTATTTTGTTGGCCAATTTCCGGTAATTCAGTTTTATGCAGCAAACTTTTCTATTTTTTCCTCCGCTTCGCTTTTCGCATCGCATTTATAAATAAATATGTTTTTTTTTTTGGCGGTATGTGGGTGGGTGGCTTGTTGGGTGTTTGTTCTTCTTCTTCTACTTTTTTTTTTTCTGTTACCCAAGGTCATTGAGATGTGTAAACTTTTGCCCATTTGCAGTTGGGCGAAAGCAACAAATGATGATGAACATTTTTATGGGGCAGCACAGTGCGTTTCACGTCGTGAAATCACTGGCAAGGGATCAGAGTTGAGAAGTCTGTGAAGTTGTGTGCACTTTTACGGATTCCATTTGCCATGGCGAACATTTTCTGGATTTATTGTTTTACTTTTGAACTCGGTTCATGTTTCTCTATTTTTTATTATTATTAAAAGTACATTTTTTCTACTCTGCTGATTATTACTTAATATTTTAACATTTTTTAAAGTGTATATAAAAAAGATAAAACTAAATTTTGTTTTATATTATAATAATATTTGTTATTTTGGACAAAACATAATGAACTGCACTGTAGACTTAACATCTCTACTGACTTTAAATTGACTTAGATAATTTTCACTTTCACAGCATCTCACACTGGCACGCCCACAACCGCTCACCACTTTTGCCTTACTCTTAATTTGATTAGAAAAGTTTCGACTTGAAAAAAAAAAAATCAAATATTTTATGACTTGAAGAACGCTAGAAAAAAATTTGAAACACCAGAACAAAAAAAAAAAAAAAGTCAAAAACGAGAAAGAGAGAAATATTTTTGGTCTGGTTTGTTGAGGTTTTCCACCCACATTTTCCCCGAATTTTCCACTCCTCGTTGCAGTCCCTGTCTCTTTGGTTCTCCCTATTACCCGTTCTTCTTCGTCAGTTGCTTTGTTGTGGTCTCCACTTGAAAAATTTGATTGGCAAACAAGATTTTTTTTTGTTTTTTTTTTTTTTTTTTGGTTGGTGTTTGTCATTTTTGGCAATTGGCTGAAAAGTTAATGGAGTGGGAAACTCAGTGGGGGTTTTTCACAGACTTTCGAGTGAATCGCTTGGAAACTACAATTAAATTATAAGAGAATCTAAACCAAATCAAATCCCCATCTGTCAGAGGGGGCACCACAAAGTCTTTGTCTCGGCAAATCCGTTAACCGGTCGTTTTTCTTTTTCTTTTACTCTTGGCCTTAGATCTTTCGGGAATGCAATATTATCTCACAGATATTAGACTCACAGTATTCGATTAAAAATCTAAGGATCTTAAACAGCGATTAAGAATATACAAAAATTTAGATCACCTAAGCGACAAGATCAAAGTGAATTTGTTCAGTTTGTGGGAGACCGGAATTTGGTGGTCATTCCATTAGCAAATTCCGGAAGTAAAATAAGTCCTCTCACCCCCGGCCAAAAAAAAAAAACGCCCACATACGGGTTTCTCATTTTTTTCTTCTTTTTTATGCCCCCACATTTATGACGTGGGCTCGTCTTCTAATTGACTTGAAACATTTTCACCATGTACTAACGCCGCATAACAAAAAAGGCAGACAAAGTTCCAAGTCATTTTGCATTGATTGATTGATTGATTGATTGATTGATGGATTGGCTGATGATTGGCCGGGCTTGGATTTCACTTGCACTCAAGCAGCACCAGAAGCAGCAGCAGCAGCAGCAGCCCCTTAAATGCAAGACAAACAAAATGGGGAAAAGCTCGGTGGGAAAATGGTATGAGAAGGAGGAGAAATAAAGCATAGCATACTTAGCTGCATCAAATATGAAGGAGAAACATTTTTCGGTCTCCAAGTAAAAGTCCTCGAGCCAAGCTCAGACCTCTTAACCCTTGCAAGACCCTCTGGGCTTTCTTTTAAGTTTACCTTTCGAACATAAAACAAACTTCCTCAAGAGCTTATTTAAAAATGAAAGAGAGTTCTCGCATGTTTAATATTAATACAAAAAAAAAGACCAAAAATGTTCTTAACTAAACTCACATCGTTTTATAATTTTGAACTTTTAAATTGATTTAGACACGGCTATTAGGTTTAAATTCAAAGGAAAATTAAAGCTTGAAGGCATTTTATTAAATGAAACATTTTTTTTTGTAAATATTATTGCTTTTTATATAAAGGAATTTTTAAAAGTTTTTTGGTTTCATAAAAAAACCCAAAGTGTTATTAGTTAAACATTTTTTTACTTAAAAGAAATCCGCAAATTTCAATAATTTAGTAGACTTTTATAGAAAATATTTTTAGAACAAAAACAAAACAAAACAAAACAAAAAAAAAACACCAAAAAACTTTGATAATTTAATACTTTCCATAACCCATTTAAGTTTAGTTCTTGGCCTTTTGCTTAAGTGCCTTAAATACAACTTACCATAAAGGAAAATGTCCGGGGAAAATGTGGAAAGTTGTTCACTGCTGCTGTATTTTCTTGACTTGACTTTTTATTTTGTATATATATATATATATATATATATATATGTATCTATATATTTTTTGTGGTCCTGCGACGTGTTTTTTGTTGTGGCCAAGTGGATATCGTGTTTGGCCTTGGAGGCGTTGCTATTCCCCCCACAAAAAAAAAGAAAACGGGTTTATGTCGCCAACTTCTACTTCTATAAATTGCTTTTCTTTCTTTTTATTTTTTTTTTTTTTAGTTTTTTTTTGTATTTTGTTGCAGGTGCAACTTGCCTCGGATGCTGAATGAATTGGTTGAGATTTTTTCTCCTTTTTTTTTTTTTGTTGCAGACCGGTTGCACAGGAAGTTGGCCAACACACACGCAAAAAAAAAAAAACACAGACACACACAACTATTTTTTTTTTTTTTTGGATATTAAGAGATTTTTTTTTTAGGATTTTCGAAGATTTTCTTGTTATATATTTTTTAAAGATTTTTTTTGAAGATTTTTTGACATGGTTTTTCTTGACTTTATTTATTGGTTTAATGCTAGGAACAAACACAGATTGCACTTTCAAAAAATTTGATTGCTGATATTTTTGCGGGAATTATTATGATGTGTTTTTTTTTTTAATATTTAAAATTGGTGTTTGTTGGTTTGTTGGTTATTATAATTTTTTTTTTGTTGCTTTTGTTTTGTTTGCTGTTGTATTTATGATTTCTTGTTGTTGTTGCGGGCGTCGCACAACCGAGTTGCTCGACTGTCTGCTGACACGGCGGAACACGTACTAAAAACTTGTTATAGGAAAATCGCTCTTTGGCCGTCGACGTTGTGTGCCGCCTCTGCCGACGTTAACAGAGGCACACGCGCATGCAAAAACAATGTCAAAAGCAGAATGGAGGGTGGGGGCATGAGAAAACTGTTCCCGTTTTTGAAGGCCCCAATATACCAACTGCTGCTATATTCCCCTGTTCTCCACCGCCCGTCTGTTCAATGTGGGAAAGTGTTCTCAAAATGCAGAGTTCGCGTGCCGTTTGTTCTGCTGCGTTCTGCTAAAAATAAAAATAACCGAGCGTTGCTTCCTCTCTTTCGCTCTGCCATATACCCAGAACCCATCTCTTTCGATTGCTCTGTTAGCATTTGGTACTAAATTTAAACGACATAAAACGAAGGGAGCTTCGTGTACGAGAAATCCAGGTCGTTGGCTGTCGTTCGGTTCGGTTCTTAATGTTAAGGATATAACAGTTCTGTTTTTGGTAACAGCTCTGCATTTTCGTATATGCGGAGATACGAAGATATCGGTGGGGCTTAAGTGATATTATAGCCCGGCATAAATTAGCCATCGGGCCCCGACGCACTAAAATCTTGATTGGTGGCCGGCAGATGCAGCTCCAAAAGAAAAAAAGAAATAAGAAGAAAAAAAAAAAAAAAAAGCGGAAGTGCCACACAAAAGTGACAGGAGCAACAGCATGCCCCACATCAAAAAATATATATGTATATTTCTTTTTTTTTATGCAGACATCAGGGTTTTAAATTCTACAAAATTATTTATTATTTATTAAAGTTTAAATGGATATTTTGACGTATTTAATTTAATATCAAGATAATATAAAAAATACTTAGAAGAATTAATAAAAATTAAAAACAGGCAAAAGTTCTGTTTCTTAAAATTAAAAATCATTACATTTTTGTTAATTAAAGGGAAATTTAATACCAATTAAATTATATAAAATTAAAAGAAAAAGATCATCTTTCAGTCATTAAAATTGTCATATTAATATTGATTATTTAAGGATTATTATTATATAGGCAATACTATTAACATGAACACATCTGTAAATAGGTGTAGTCATATAGGCATCTTCTTGTCCGGGAAAAGTGTTATATGGGAAGGCGAACTCTTGACATTGATAAGGCAAACTGGCATTAAGAGTCCCACTGCCAATTCCATTTCCATCGGTGAATGGGTCACCCAAATGAAGAATAACAATGGGAGTTGGAAAATTGTTTTTTTGCCTTTCAAATAAATAATATTAAAAAATTAAAAGAATTTTTGAAAAATCATTTTCTCTATTTTGCATTAAAAAATGTATTTTATTTTCGTATAAACTTTAAAGTTATATATTAATTTCTGCCTTTGGCATCATGGTTTTACGCCACGGTTCTCACTGCGATCTCGTGACAAAGCACTTGAGAATCGTTATTTTTACCCGCTTTCTCCAGTTTTTCCAGTTCGAAGAACTATTGACAATTCACGCTGCTCTCTTATTGTTTCCTGCGATTGGGAATGGGGTTAAAAATTTAAATAAAATGCGCATGCAAAAAAACAGAAAAAAGAAAAGTGCAGCAACAGAGGCAGAAGGAGATAATGTGAAGAAGACACAACAGATGTTTACAACAAAGGCCAGGCCCATAATTAAAAGCTGGCCCAGAATGCAACTGAGAACTTTCCATACAAAACAGCCCAACGCCCACTAGCCACCCATCACCCACCCACCCACTTCTTTAACACAAATTCTTACTTACATATCACTTTTTTTCAGTTTGTCTTGAATAAAGTTAAAGACATTCTTTCAAGTTATAAAATTGATTTATTTTTTTTAAATTAATAATAAAATATTACTGAGATATCATCTAATAACTCCAAGTTTTTAAAAAGTAAACATTAAATGATAGCTAACTGATGTTATTTCTGATATTAATATATTTCAACGGATTTAGGTATCCGATTTGTATCGATTTAGAGACCAATTTTTCTTCAGTGCATTGACTTTTTTTTTTCTGTCTGATAGTGCGAAATGTTTTTAAACAAAATTTTACGAGTAACGCCTCCTAAAAATAATAATAAAAAAAAAAAAACTATAGCAAGCAACGCCTAGTTCAGGAACTAAAAAAACAAAAGAGGGCGTCGTTTTTGAATTTTTTTTGGGCCTGGGATATCTCGTTTCGATTTTCATTTTTTTTTTTTTTTTTTTTTTTCTTTTGATTTCTTGGTTGTGACAGACGAATGTCAATAGAGAGAGACGGGCGATACCCCGGTTGATCGCCCCGTCTCACTTGCACATCTCAGCAGCCGTCGCATGCCCATCAACAACAAATCAATGACGACGACACATGTTGGACATCCCAACTTGAAACCGAAAACTGGAAGTCAGAAGAGATACTACAGAGTGGGGATGACACCTAGAAATCAGAGTGCACTTCAAAAAAAATCTGAAAAATATATTTCGAAAATATAGTTTTTCTTTAACTCAAAAGATTAATTTTCTTATAAAGAACTTACAATCATGATCTCCTTAAAGGGAAAATAAAAAATGAAAGGGTATTTGTTGGTCTTCAAGTTAAGTCAATACAATTTTCACTCAGTGTTTCGTAGGACAGCAACAATGCAAGCGTTTAAGCATTTAGAAGCAATTACCGCAGCAATGAAGCGTTGAATGAATGGGAATGAATGGCCAAAGAAGGGCTGATGAGGTAGTTGAGCGGTATGCCGAGGTGCGAGTGACAGAGTGAGAGGGCCATATCGAATACTGGGCAGTGTGACAGAGGCAGAGCGGGACACATGTGTCCATGTGGATCAGTTTGCTGCTTTGCCTTTACAAACGAATTTATGTACATTTTTGTGCATATTTCCTGGGATTTTGGATGCTCGTTTAGAGTTCGCCTCTTTTTCTTATTTATCGGGATTACTTACTTAGTGGAAACGACAAACGACTTTCGAAAGAGAGAGAGAGAGAGGGGGCCACAAGCACAAGAAAGATACTAGGTGGGGAGGGGGGTGGAAACGGAAACACGAGACGCTTCAAATGCCAATGAGCCGCAGATGAACGATACAGTGAATACTGAATATAAACCAAAACTTTGAGATGAACAGGAAGTTTTGAACTTCAAGAAATTTGTATTAGTAAAACATTTTAACATATATAAAATCTTTTTAACTTTCTACAGATCCATGTACAGTAAAAACCATTAAAATACAAAAATCTACAAAAAAAACACCTTAATGTAAATATTTTTTAAGAGCTTAAAAATATCTATTCTATTTAATATTCACTGTAGTTGAGCCTTTAAAGTTGTTTCCGCATAATCGAGGGCGTAACAACGGAAGCTGCTTGTAGAAAGAGACGGGTATAGATGTGGTGAAAAAGAGAGCACTATGCGATCACCACAAAACGAAAGGCTTTTTTTTTTATATGGATAAAAAAGGAGAGGGATGTATGTATGTTTACTCTAATTGGAACACTCCAGAAAATTCAGAAGACGAGCATTTCAAACTGTGAATTCTTAATCTTTCTTCTTTTGCTTTCTTCCCTTAGTTGTTTTTTTTTTTCTGTGTTTTTAATTTTTTTTTTTTGGTTGCCCTTTTACGACGTTGTTGCTGCTTTTGTTTGTGTTCTGCCTCTTTAGTGTTGTTATGATTGCAGTTGTTCGAGTCGCTCGTGTTTTTGTTATTTTGTGGTCGATGACAGCTGAAAATTGTAAGGAAGCGCCACATTTAGTACAGTGAAAGAAATATTCATCAAGTTCTATGGAGATTTTTGATTATATTTAAATCAATCTTAAATTAGATTTTCTTACTATATTTGCTGGATTTTTTTTTTGAAAAAATTAACAAAGTAACATAACCGACAACACCAATATTTAAATTTAACAAAGTTTGGTTAACTTTTGGGGTGCCATAAATTGCTTAAAAATATTACAAAAAACAATTTTGATTCCATTAACCTTCGAAAATCTTGCTGTTTATGAGAAACAAATTGAATAAAAATTCTATATTTTAAATTTAAATTTATTTCAAACTTATCCACTGTACAACAGCATCAAATCATTGGCTAAAATTGGCTAAATCTGTACCGCTTGGCACTTCCGTTGGTTTATGTATATTTTTTTTTTTTTGTTACCTCCTACTCTTATGTTTTATTTTTTTTTTATTTTTTTTACTGTTTGCTTGGGCATTTGAATAGAAAATTTTAAATATTAAACTTTTGTGTGCTTAGCTTAGCGCCTGATGCCCGTGTTATTGTATTTGCGTTTGATATATTTGTATATAGCTTGTTGTTGTTGTTGTTGTTGTTTGGAAATTGAGTTTCGGCGTTGATACTTCTATTTAGTCAGGCCCAAAAATTTGTTTTTGTTAATGTGTTCGATTTAAAGTGGGTGCGAGCGAGAGGTGGTGATGGAAGATTGAGAGAGGGGGGGGATGCGTGATGAGCGCTTCCGTTTCCGCTGCTAGTAGGGCAATTATTATGCTACTCAAAATCGTTCGAGCGCAAAAAAAAAAAACCATCTGAAGAAATAAGAGAAAAAATACGATTGATTGTAACTTTTGTTATCCATTAGGGTATATTTTTTTTAAAATTTTTTTTTCATTTATAAAAAGTTAATATAAAGTTAATATTAAATAAATAATTAATATATAACTTGCAGGAAAAATTATATACAAAATACCTTGATAGGAATACCTTAAAGAAAGTCTTAAAGATCGCGCTATGCCACTTAAATAGAGAAGTAATAAGGATAATATCTTACTAAATTACAAAAATACAAACTTGAAAGGCTTTCAAAGTTCATAATTAAATAATTTTTATTATCTTTAAATATTATCTACTACCCAGTAGCCATTTCTAGTTAAAAATTTTAAAGTGAAAGGGTATTCGAACTGCTTAAATATCAATCAAGTAGAAATGGAAAAAAAGGGAAGGAGTATGACTTTTTGTAAGTCGCTCATTGTTGCAATTTACTTTGTTGTATTTTTATTTAGTTTTTTTTAAAGGGGCACACGCCAATAATTGCGCTCGAAAAGAAGTTAAGGAAAACACAATCAAGTGAGGGGGGGGTCCTGCCAAGATCTTAGCCCCTAGCTGCCGGTCGCCACCAGGGCGTTCTTAATGTGAAAATCATGCAATGAACCAAATTCGAACGGAAATGATTCACACTCCAGCTGAAATGCGATTCGAGTGGCTTGAACAAAAGTAAGAAGAAAAAAAAAATAAGAAAAATACAAAAATAAGGGGAAAGCCCCGTGGAAGGGCGTCTCGAATTGAAATTGCGTTTTCAACAATTTCTGCAACAACAACAGTGACGCCATTTGAAACAACAATAGCAAATGTTTTCGTAACCCCTACATGTTTTTGAGATGAGCGACTGCCATCGATGAAAACCAGAAAAAGGGGATGCCAGACACTGCCAGAAAAAAAAGAATGAAAAGTTAAATATAAGTATTAAGTAGGTTTGTTTTTGGATAATGTCCCTTTGATTATAGGAATCTGACTTTGTAATTTAATTTCAACTTTTTTTTAATGATTAATTTGTACATCAAATGT